CCTAATGCTAAACCAAGCAAAAAATTTAATTTAATATAATCCTGTCACAAAATGTGTCACAAACCACCTCGACCTTCAGTTACTCTACCAAAAACTTACAAATAAGGAAAATTTTCACTTCCATCTGCAAAATACTAGCTGACTTGTATCTTGCAATGCACAATTTCTGACACATTCTGCACACTCGTCTTCAATTTTGCTTCTTTTCTTTATTAAATTATTGCACTCACAACTCCTTTCGTCTGTGAGTTGTCGTAATAAACGGCAAAAGACAGAGAACATTAGCACAATGCAATTTTTGCTTCTGCATTTAAAAAATTTACTGCTTTTTATGGAAATTGTGAAGACGAGATTTTTAAAATTTATGAGACATGAAAATGAAAATTGAATGAAAAATCATTGTTGAAAGTGTAATTGAAGATTTTTTTCATAGCTGAAACTCGCTCATTTATTGCTGGGACGATGAAAAGAATTTCATTTTTAAGTTGTAGCTTGTGGAATTTTAAAATCATTTCTTTTATTGTTATGGAATCTTACGAATGCAATGTTATTTAATGAAGTGGAATCGCTGAAAGGATTTTTTTTTGGAATTTTAAAAGAAAAAATTGAAAAGTTTTGCATACAAATTGTTATTGCTGTTGATTTTATGGATCATCTTGGTTTGTTATTTAAGTATAGTTGGTATTTTAGCATTGTTAGGGTTAGGGAAGAGGCGGTCTTATGATTTCTGATAATCAAATGATTTAATTTCCAAAAAATACACCAAAAATAACTTTCAAAACTACAAATCAAGCTCTAAAATCACTCAGCATCACTTACAATTCCAAAGCTATACTTTCCATCCTCAAATCATTTACTTAATGTACACCAGAGATTAAACTTGTTCGTTCAACTAATTCCCAAGCTGATACTCCTTCAAAAAAGAATTCTACCTTTGACTTTTCATCTGTAAATATTTGTAGTTTTTCATTCGCAGCTTTTTCTTTCGCTTCTTTTGATTCTTTTGAGTTTGACTTTCAATCTGCTCGCTTTAATGTGCAAATACATTGAATTATTTCTGTGTTCTACTTGTTATGTGCTTGCTGAAGAGTTGTCTGTGTTTACGCTCCTCAAAAGAATTATAGAACTGGAAAGAAGCAAGAGTTTTACGTAACACCAAAGGTTTGTATCAACATCCACCGTCTATTTTGCAACTTGATTTCCATCAAAATGATTCAACTCTTCTCTTGCTGGCCTTCACAAGGATCATTTATTAATGATGTCTATCATCAAGTTTTAGGCATTTGTATCATTCAAAAAGTCAAGCGTAGCTGAATGAAACTAGACATCTCATATGTTCACTTAACATCTATCTAGAGCAGTGCTTCTCAAACTATGCTACGCGAAGCTTCAGTGTTCAGTAGAAAATCTCTAGGTGTGTCAACAGTGATTGCCAGCGTAGCGTGGAAACATGAATTAAAAAAGCTTGAGAAGCACTGATTTAGAGTAGAGTGATGGCCAACCCATGTGCTACGGTACACAAAAAGGTAAAGTTATAGTGGGATCCGAACCACTTGCAAGCTCTCCACATTGCAAAGAAACGAGTACGTCATAAGAACTGATGTACCTATTCATAATTCGTGTGCGCATGATGCTGCAATGAAATCATCCAGATGCTAGAATATTCTAGTAAACCTAGCAAAGGAGACACGTTTTGTGCCGAAGACCTCAAAACTTCACCCAACTCACGAAACGAGCTTCGTAACTAGAACGTTGAAATGAAAAAAGAGCTTCTAAAGCTTGATTTGGCCTGGGATTGAGCCCACAACCTTTAGCATGTAAGGCCAACGCTCTACCACTTAAGGCACTGATGCCATTTTACCGCTGTACACTAGTGTGGCACAAACATTTCGAGAAACCCCACAAATTGTTTGCCGCGTGCGATTTCAGTAATGACTTACCATCAATGTGTGCCATGGCACAAAAAAGGTTGTCCACCACTGATTCTCCTCCCTTTTTGAAATCAAAACGAGCCAAAAATGTCCAACCATTTACCAAAAACTTCACATCAACTTTAACAAAAAAATATCAAGCTGCGATTAAAAATTTTCCCCTTTAAAATCAATTCGACCCACTTTTCACAGCCATCAGAAAAAGCCACATTGTTCATTCAAGTGCGTAAAACCATTCTCTGCGCTGAAAAATACTGAAAATATTCGCAAATAGCTAAAAGCTCTTAAAACAATTCCCATGAGAACATTCACCACGCACAAAATTCCCTCTCAAATTCAACAGCAAAAGCAACAAAATAAAAACAGACCTGATGATGATAAAAAGCTTTTCACAGTTCCAAAAAAACTAAAGACTACAAAAAAAATAATTCAGAACGTCCGATAAAAAGCAACATGAAGTGTCCATAAAAAAAAAAACTTTTTTTTTCACAGAAGCAGGATGTAAATTTTAATTGACGTACAGACGAGGGAGTCAGAGGAAGAATCATCACCCGTTATACGAGATTCTCTGTCTTATCTTTCAGCCTATAAAAAAAAGTGTCACTGAGAAGCGATGAAATAGCGGAAAAATATGTGCAGTCACGTTGCAAAAAAAAGAGAGAATGTTTATAACATCCACTACACAGTAAGAGTCATTTCCTTTAGCCATGAATTATGGATTAAATAATCTTTAAAAGTAACCAACAAAACGACGACTGCGACTGGCTTTTTTTTATTATTTTCATTGCCATTGCTGCTGGTTTGACTTGTTTTTCCTTTTTCGCTCTTTTTTTATGGCACCGCTTTCACTCGAATATTAATTTTTCATGAATGCATACATAAAGCAAATGTTTCTCGGCTCCTCAGATGGATGGGAACGGAAAGTTGTGTACAAGAAGCAGCAATGCACGTACGGATGAGGAATTTTTTTCTCTCTCCTTACATGTTTTGCTTCTTTTTATTCCGATCTGATGTATTTCTTGTACGTTACTTATTTTATGTTATCACTCTGTAGATGTGTTATTCGTTCGCTGTCTTTGTCTCTCTCTCTATGTGCCATGGAAAGTTCAACTCTTCTTCTTATGTCTTTTTATGTGACAACGTTTGTCAAATGTAGTTGGATGTAGTTTTAGGTGACTTTTTGACTAGTTGTCTGGATTATGGTTAATACTATGGAGCGGGTGGGGGCAGGCGCGTAGCCAGGAGGGTATTGTCCCCCTCTTAAGCGTTTTAGGCCATGCTCTCACTACGGTTCAAAACGTTTAAGGAGGAAGGGGGACAAGACCCTCCTGGCTACGCGCCTGGTCTGGGATAGTGAAACTTTAATAACTATTGCAAAGGTTTAGGTCCGAACCCCTTGCTTGTTTCATGGTTTGCTCAAAAAGATATTCTAGTCATTTACTATAACTGTTAAGCTTAGATAGAGATGCAAAGCGTTGAGAACCGTACAATTCCTTGATAATTTATAAGGTTTTTTAAACAAAACCATACAAATTCTAATAAAACCTCACAAATTATCAAAGAATTGTACGGTTCTTACCTGTGCACAGCTGCCTGTATCGCAACCCTGGATTTAGATGACCAAACCTCCTCTTCAAATTCTTAACTACGCACTTGTTTAGCTATTAAACCAGACACATCCTAACGATGCAATCCTGTTTATTTCTACTCTTAATGCACAAAAGCTATTTAAATCAACCTCTAAGGGGCCGTTAACTTATGACGTCCAGGTTGGGATGGGATTCAAATGTTCTTTTTTGAAAAATGACCATTAATATCGGACGTCATAATTTAGCCAAGTTATAATCAAAACATTCAAATGCGCTCCATTCCATCACCTCACACTACATCTCCAACTTGGTTTTTCTTTTTTCATGAACACTTGGTGAATGCATAGCATGAATGTCATGTAGAGTAAACTAAATTATATTTGATAGTGAAAACTTTCGTATGTGAATGAATATCTTCTCGTATCACAGTAGCTTGATATCAAGCCAAGTATTACTGTCACACAACCTCTAAAGAATGTAAAAAAAGAAGGCGAAGCGAATAAGTTTTCATTAACTTTCGTAACACATTCATCAAGAACATATCTATATGCTTTATATTGAAGTGAACATGATGTGATGTTGAAATAAGAATGATATGTCGAGGATGGACGATGAAAGTTGATGAGATCAAAAGATTTTTACTTCAGGGGCGCTTCCTGGTGCTCATTCAGCTAGTCTTAGTCCAGCACCTATTTTAAAGCACAATTATTTTCATTTTTGCCTTAGGGTGCCCCGTTCAGACCTAAAAGCCGGCCATTGACTGTCATCTTAAATTAAAATTCTAATTAACCAAGTCATTAACAGCTGAGCATCTCAACAAGTGCGAACTGCACTTTTAATTGTACAAAAAACTCATTAAAATATTTTTAAAGGGAAATTAAATGTTTTTTTATTGTTTCATTATTTTAAGAATATAAGAGCCTTAATGAAGAAGTAGCTCAACTTTTCATCATTAAGGCATCTAAAATAAATTTTGCTACAGATTCATTTCACACATATGCTTTACATCTTTTAGAAATCTACATCTAATACAAAAAATATATAATTACTTTTCAGCGTGAGATTTCATCAGTGATTGTCGCACAATGTTTGGGGTGACCAATGAAGATTAGGTTTATGATCTTGAGGATCTGTGGTGGTTTCTGATATTAAGTTTTAGGTTGCGACATCTTAGCTTGATCTCTTAAGATATTGAGAATATATAGAACCTACCCGAATAGCACAAGTCGGTTAACCGAATAGCACCAAGCTATTGTGACTCTGGCATGGTGCTGGACTCAAATTTTAACTAGAACCATGGTTAATTCCAACTTTTGACTCAAATCTAATCCAGCACCATGATTGATTCCAGCACTGGATTAGATTTAAGTCCAGCAACATGCCAGAGGCCGGATTTATATTCAATTAACCTACTTGTGCTATTCGAGCTACGTCTAATTTCCATGATTGGTCTTTATGTATTCAGCATTAAGCTTTACTGAGCCACAAAAAATACCTTACATAAAACTCTCAAATTCCCTACAAAATCAACTTATGGACACCCCAAACATTGTGACAAAACATTTTGTTTCTTTTGACTTTTTTTGGCATCAGAAATAGGTTTGAGCAAATTATTGTTAATCATCACATTTATAGTTCAGAATGTCGTCTTAAACGAATCTCAATATCGTCCTGTAGCTTCTCAACTTTCCTAGACTGCTTTTTAATTTTAGACTCGAGTTCGTCAACGTGATCATGATGCTTGTCACCTGGCTTAACATGTTTGAACTTTTCCATGGTCAAAGCATGTTCCGCGTGCAACTGACGAAGCTTTAAGAATCGAGATTCAAAATGATGCAATTCAATTTTCATTGATGCTAGTTCCTCAGCTGAAAAGTTACTTTGCTGTGCAATTCTCCATAAGCCTTGAACTTTTGGTTCTATAAAATCAGATTCATCATCACCACGTGCAACGATTCTTTCAAGACGGTCAATGTTGTCGCGAATTTCACGATGCTTGTCTCTAACTTCATTTGCCTTACTAATGTACTCGTCATGCTTATTGTTGCGCTTCTGATCATGATAAATGTCTTTTGCCTCATTTTCATCGTTCATTGCAATTTCATTGAATGTGTCGAATTCTTCCTCATTAATGGCATCTGTGGATGAGATTAAGATTGTGGGAGTTCTAAAGAAAGCTGGATATAAAATCTACTTACTCTTATGATGATCATCATCCTTCTTATTCTTCGTATTGTCGAGATTCTCAATCAAATTAAAATAAAAATCAACTTTTTCCTCATGATGCTGGAACTCCTCTTTTAATGTCTGCAATTCCTCTGGAGTAAAGCCACCGCTTACCTCAGCACGTTCCCATAACTTATTCAATTTCTTGTCTTTAAATAAACTTTTATTCTTGTAATTATCAGTCTTGACTTTTCCTTCTTTTGGCTTATGGTGCTTGTGATTTGCTGGATCATTAATTTCATCAAAGTCAAGAACTTCCAGTAAACCATAAGTTGACATAATTCCAATCAATTTCTTGCGAAGATCTGCTTCTTTGAGTCCATCATTGAACTCTTTCGGCTTTTCACTTTTTAGATGCTTGAATGTCAGTTCCTCCTTGTCATGCAACTTTAATTCTGTAAATAATGATTTGAGCTTCGGCTCTGTCAATCGGTGAACTGCCTTTGACCATAATAAATTAAGTTTAGCTACTCGGAAAGGTTTTTGAAGATTTCTGTCGAAAATTTTAATTTGAAGTAATTTTAATAAATTTTTAAAATTAAATAAATTACCTAAAATCAGAATTATAGGTTTCAGACTCTTGATAGTTTGCCTTCTTTGAATATTTGTCGTGTTTATCTGCATTAATAGCTATAATACACGAAATTAAAAATAGAAGAGCAGAAAAGTGCAAAAAAGCAGTCTTCATGGTTCTTGATTATGCGAAATTTATAGAAATTGACACTACTGTAACTAGCTGCTATGCTAAATGAACGAATAATGATCAAATTTCAATTAGTTCAATTAATAAATGAATATTAATTTAAGAATCAACAGGGAAACTTCTAAACAATAGAAAATATGGGCAATTCCAAGGATTGATTTTTCCAAAATATTTATCTTTAAATCGAATTTTCTCTTAATTAGAGAACTTTGCAGCTGGAATTTTCGCAAAAATTTATGTAAAACGCCGAGCTCTTTCATTCTATCGACCTTATGCATCTTGTCATGCCTTAATTAATGAAATATTTGGATTTTTGTCAGCGTTGGTATATTACACAATGTTGAATTCTGATTTTGAAAGCAAAAATATACAACTTCAAAGCAAGAGTGTGGAACTGAAGAATTACATTTTGATCAAGTTTGATCATTTTTGATCATTTTTGATCATTTTTGATCAATTTTGATCATTTTTGATCATTTTCGATCAATTTTTGATCATTTTTGATCATTTTTTGATCATTTTTGATCATTTTTGATCAATTTTGATCATTTTTGATCATTTTTGATCATTTTTGATCATTTTTGATCATTTTCGATCAATTTTTTGATCATTTTTGATCATTTTCGATCAATTTTTGATCATTTTTGATCATTTTTGATCATTTTTTGATCATTTTTGATCAATTTTGATCATTTTTGATCATTTTTGATCATTTTTTGATCATTTTTGATCATTTTTGATCATTTCATCAGTACCACACCCTTGCTTTAAAGACATCTAGATAAATATTAATGGTTGTTATACCGTTCATTCTATCCTTTTTTCATGATTCTGCATACTTAAATTGACTTGAAAGACACTCAATAGACAGAAAAATTAATATTTTTAATGAAATTAATGTAATATACCAACGCTTAAGCCAAACACGTGAGAAAATGATTTTTAAAAACCAAAGTTTTTCTTTTAATTAACAATTATTTCTTTGATTAGAATGTTGTTTCTAAAAGTTTAATAGTCAATGAAGATCTTTAACTCGTTTTAAAAAGTGTTAGCTTAGTTAAAGAACATTTTTAAAGAAATCAAGTTTTTAAAGAACATGGATCAAAAATTTATTTTTTTCGAAATTCAATTCATCCGTGGAATCGCCCGTATGAAATATTTCCACTTTAAGCTGTTGATAGTCCCCTGAAAATATTTTGAATTTTTAAAAGCCGTTACAATCAATTCATTTAATGAGAAAAAAATTCTACGGCACAAGAACTAAATTCCCTCTGTCCTTGCTCCATTTTTTCTTCATTTACGTAACAACCCCCCTTCAAATGACGCCCTCAATCAGCTCTTCAATTCAATTAATTTCTTTAATTATATAATCATTTCAGGACTTCAATTGAAATAAAAAGAGGGACAGAAAAATGGAAGTGTGAAACCAAAGCTGTGATGAATAAAATTGCATCAAGATTCTTTTAATTAAAATGAAATCGTCAAACAGCTTGCGGCTGGAAAAAAAAATCTTGAAAAATAATGCCAATGCTCTTGTACAATGAAAATGTTTGAGAAAAAAATTGTGAAAAATATTCAAATAAATGAGGATGTGGATGTTGTTTGTGGTCTTATAAAGTGGAGTAGTGTCAATGGGGATGAATTTGGGTTTATTCAAGAATATAAGAGAACCAGAGACTAAGATAGAATTTTTCGAAGAGGATTTGACAATTTTTGAATGGATCCTAAGGCTTTGTACCTCTTAATTCTGGTATTATTAAAGTATTACAAAAAGTATGCGTATACAAATGTAAAACAAATCGGGTTTGATGGGAATCGAACCCACGACCTCAAAAGAGGCGATCTCTGACCACTGGATCACCTGCCACTCGACTACCGAGGTACTTATATAATTTCGGCTATCCGTCATATACATACAACGAGTTTCACTGCGAGCCCTATGCTCAGGCTTATCTACAGATATACTCTTCGAGCCATATATACAACTTCCTTTTTTGAAATGAATCAGAGCTTACAAGTTTTTTCGGATTCCTCTTTTATAATGTTTGAGAGATCTGCCGCTGATGGGAATCAAACCTGTGTCCTGACAAATGAGGGTCACATATATCCGATTTGTTGCTTAACAACTCGCACAACAGAGGCTTAACTCACGCACTGGCAGATTCACCTATATAAAACCCAGATTCAGACAAGACACTCCCCAATTCCCAAAAATCATGTCAAACAAATTAACAAGATACATTTCCAGAATATTTATTTGAAGGACTCCAATTCCTCTTCTTTCATTCATTCCCACATTTTAATATTTAACACTCTACATCGTTCACGAGAGATGAAGTGCTGAGATGAGTGATATGGCAGATATAAAAAGGAATATAAATAATAATGAAAAGTAGAAGAATTAGTGAAGGAATGAGAAGAGAACAGATAGCTCCAGGTGTTTATGCTCATTTCATTTTTCATATTTTTTTCTAATTATTTTTCTTTCTTTTTCTATCTTTTATGAATAATGAACAGTAATGGTGTTTTTATGAATGAAATGGAATGGTGTGAAGAAGTTGAGAATGAAATGAGATGGAAGTGAGAATTTATTGTTTCTCGTAATTGCTATCTCTGAATTTATTAACTACTTTTTCCTTTACACTTCATTAATGGGAATGAAAATTGAAGTGAAATTTGTTTTTATTTATTTTTAAAATGATGATCATTTTGGATGGAAATGAAAGGTGAAAAGTCGTTGGAATGGAAATTTTTGAGATGATAACATTTTTTCTTACTTTGGAAATTTTAAAAAATCATTTTGAATATTTGAAAAATTTAATATTTTTATTTTCAATAAGGTGAAATGACAATGGCAGCAAAAGGCAGAAAACAATTCCAAAAAAAATGTTTTTTCTCATTTTCTCGAATAAACTTATTGCTTTGTATGTTTCAACGGCACATGACTGAATAAGCTTTAAATAAAAGCTTTGAAAAGCATTTAAAAAATTTCAAAATCTACTTTTTTCAAAAAATTAAATTAAAGATGCAAAAACAATTTGATGGGGTTCGGAAGCCCTTTAGATGCTTTGTGGCTCCACTCATTTAAAGCGGGATAATACCAAGGCATGGACACCTGGTGAAAGAATCTTTTGGATCTATGAAAAAATAATTCGTGTCCTTGCTTTGGATTTTATATCAGTTGATAAATAAAACTCATGAAGAAAGGGTTAAATCTGGATTTTGAGATTTATTAAAGATTAGACTCTTAAAAATGAATCAAGTAATAATAAACATAACTTATATTGTAAATTTAAAACATTTAGTCAAGGCATTAGTCGATACACCTTTTTGAAACAAAAATGACAAGTTCACAATTTAAATTGAAAATTAGAAATCATTTAAAAAAGAAGAAAATAAGATCAATATTGAAAAGATGTTAAAAAACAAAATTAATTTTATATCTCTATTATTATTTTGTTATGATAAAGTTGAGAAAGATAATAAGTAATACGTTTATGAAATATTTGAAAATTTTATATGCTTTAAAGTTGCCACCAATTTTATGCTACAAAGGTTTGAAAAAATTATGACCGTTTTATTTAAATCTAGGAAAAATAAATTGAGATTTTTTCCAAATTTTCGTTTATTTGCTTATTTAACATTCAAAATATATTTGAATTTTAACTTTCATGAGGTAATTTTAATTTTAAAGCAAATAAAATAGTCGGATGAAAAATAAAATCTTAAATCTCACGAGACTGCTTCAATTGTTAATTCACAATGGCAAATCATTAATAATGAATTAAAGTTAATTGATATCAAGGAGATGAATTTAAATTCTTTAAATCTCCAAGGAGAAAATTTAAAGATTTATCTTTTATTTACAAAAGATTCTGTGTAGATAAAAGCAATTTCATCCCACTTAGTAATAAACTTTATCTATAATCTCACAATTGTGTCGAGTCTATTCTTGAATGAATCTTGTTTACTCCTTTCAGATCATTGGATTAATTGCAGTCAACCTCCTCCTCAAATATTGTTATAATTGATGTCAATTTGTGCAATTAATATTTCACATTATCTTAATTATAATCTTATTTAACTGGATTTTTTTTCATGCTTTATTATCATCGACAAATGTCATATTCTTTATCTTAATCAGTTCTGTCTATAAATAGAAGAAAGTAATGCATTTTAGCTTTATTATTTAAACTTAAAAAAATCCGTCAATTAAAAATATTCAATTCCTGTTGAATCGCTTGTCAAAAAATCCATTTATCCCTAAAATAAATTGTCAATTATATCCTCATGTCAATAATTTCAGTGGCTTATGAAAAGTCATCGGAATGCTCAAATTATTTAATCCTCAAATACCACAATAGACTCATTCATTCATTATTTTGACAACACAAAAATGCAAATTTTGCATTTTTATTCATTGTGAAAAAAAATGTTTCTGTCCAATTTGCAGCTCTATTTTTCAATTATCGGTCTCGGTATGAATAACAATAAAAATTATTTTTTGGTTAAAAATACTTTGGTGAGCATATTTCGAGGAAAATTGACTAGCAGTCTTGCTGATTGTCTTTGTTTTTTATTACATTTAAATTTTTCAATATTAATTTTGAAATTATGATTTTTTTAAATTTTATTAAAGTTTGTAAATTCTAAGAATCGTTTTTAAAAATTACAAAAATTAATTTGTTCAAATTTAAAGAATAAAACTAAAATCTAATTTTTATTCTTCAAAACTTGAACAAATTAATTTTTTTATAATTCTTGAAAATATTAAAAAAGTTTCAAATTTTAAACAAATTTTAAAAAATTTCTGAGTTTTAATTTTTTCAATTTTGCAATAGTTTTATTAAAAGTTTCAAAATAAAGTCACTTCAATGCGCTATTAATTCACATCATAGCGACTCATTTAACACAGTTAAAAAAATTCATTTTAATTAAAAGAATGAAAAATCCAACGATGATTGCTCTCATGAACTTTTATAAATTTTTTTCATGTTGCTCCAAAACTCTGAAAGTATTTTTGGCCTTTGTTTTTATGAATTTATATTTAAATTTTTTTTGTGCAGCTCTCAGAA